ATCTGAAGAACACAGGAACCAGAACGAGCAGCAACAATGAGACAGTGCAGAGGGTTTGAGCTTCAAAATAAGACGTAAACTCCACCACAATCATGCATGTCATCATTATTCTTAATATTCTTTATGTTATAAATGTGAAATAGACCCAAAGACACTAAAACCAACCTGTAACTTTAAAAGTTTAAGTCTCATAAAGTCTGAATGAAACCGCCCCAACTTCCTTTTTACTTCTCTGCATGTTCAAACAGGAAGAAAGGCACAAAGGCGTAAAATATTACTACAACATGTGATGATTCTGATTAGTAGTTATCCAAATTAAAAAGAGCAACATCAGCATATGCTCATCCAGATGTTTGGACATGGACATGCATTCGGTGAGGCACAGATCCAAAGTTTGTGCACGAACACAAACTGAAGTGATGGTTTTATTCTTTCAACTTTCTATCAGGACCTAAAGATAAACCGTTTGATGAACATCCTGTTATGATCTCCTTCCTGATTATTTCAGCAGAGGAGCTGAACTTCAAGAACCAACAAACAGCCGACATTTAGCCACACTGAAATCATTTTAAAACTCAGAGTAGCTTTGGTTGGGTTCTGTTCTTCTCACCGTCGTTCAGATTAATAACGTTTAAACAGAATCTGTTAACTAAAGTCTTTAAGAACTTACCAGAAACAAGAAGGTTGTTGTGCGAGTGGAGACGGTCGACTGCAGTGAACTTTATTTAACACGGACAGACTTCACCCTCGAAACAGGAAGATGATGCAGAAATAAAAAACGTCTTCAAGAGCAGGAAGACAAACCCACGCACCTTCGACTAAATGTCACAAGGTTCTGGCCTTTCAGTCCATTCCATCAGTCAGAGCCCAGGACCAGTGACCCAGTCATGCTCAGAGAAACAGAACCATCTCCTGACTCTGAGCTTTACTTCCACCTATGATGCAACAGATGAACGCTTTAGAACCACCTGCTGAACAAACGCTGCTGCGTCTGAGGAAATAACCGTCTCCGCTCTGGACTTATTCCTGTTAGTTTGTGGAATAAATAATAAAATCCTGTTTGGGCTCATTCCAGTCTGGTTCTGTCTCCTCCACAGCACAGGAACAGCTCGAACAAAAATCTCTAACGAGCTTCTCGTGGCAGCAGACTCCGGTTTACGCTCCGTCCTCGTTCTCCTGGATCGGACTGAACTCCATCCTCCTCCATCACCATCTCTCACAACCCCCATGACTGGTTTGAGTCGTGTCTTTCTGGCTGCACTCAATTCGTTCAACTTCAGTGTTTTGCTTCCAAGCCCCCCCCCCCCCCCCCCCCATCACCACTGGTGTGCCCCAGGACTATGTCCTTGGGTCCCCTCCTCTTCCCATTGGTTATCCATCCATCCATTCTCTTTACCCACTTCTTCCTTTTTGGGTCACGGGGGTCACTGGAGCCCATATCAAGCATTCACTGTGTGAGAAGAGGGGGACACCTGGACAGGTCTCCAGTCCATCACCTGGACAGGTCTCCAGTCCATCACCTGGACAGGTCTCCAGTCCATCACCTGGAAAGGTCTCCAGTCCATCACAAGACCCCCAATGGTTCTATTTTCTGTCAATATTACATTTACTGTACACTAATCCCACTTGTCCAGGATCTTGTTCTTTAAGACGTGACCCAGACCTCGTGATTTTGTAGACCGACCGATAAATTGAAGGCTTGGCATTGTGACTTAATAATAATAATAATAATAATAATAATTTTATTTAAAAAGCGCCTTTCAGGACACCCAAGGACACTTTACAGCAAGAAACATATCAGAAAGATTGTGTTAAAACAACAAGCACAGTGCAAAGATCAACAGGAATAAACTGAAATATAAAATACATAAAGAATATAAAATACATACAGAATATAAAATA